CTTGTGTTCGTCCAAAATTTGAGGTCTATCAAATGATGTACGAGGTGGAGAATTGTAAGAAGAGAAGCTGAAGATGAAACTGAAGAAGAAAAGCTGAAGAAGCCAGCGCCTAGGCGCTGGAATGGGCGCCTAGGCACCCCGAAGGCGGTTCCCAAGCAGAATATTGGCGCCTAAGTGGCGCCTAGGCGCCCCGGCAAGTATATATATATTGCCATTTTCCCTCTTTCATTTAACACAAGACCTAGAGGGAAAAGAGAGAAAACTTTGGAGAGAATTTTTACAAGATTGAAGGTTGTTCATCTTGAGTATAAATTCAAAGGTATTTTCTTTCTTGGGGATTAACTTGAGGCTTGTTCAAGTAATCCAAACACATTGATTATCATATATTCCATTGGATTCATTTCTTCCTCATTTTCTTGTTCTTCAAGCATATTGGAAATTTTCACTTTGCCAACTTAGTTTGATCTTTGGGCATTCATTGGGAGGTGTTTTCCCAACAGAGAGAAAAATATTTGTAATAATAAATTGTGAAATCTATGAAAAAGTTGACTTCAGTTTCTTTCCCAAAAAATGAGAGGAAATCTGCTTTAGAAGGGGTGAGATTGTAGAATGGAAATAGGGATCATCACGAGGCAGGATACCTTGGACCATATCTACTCAAGCAGGTAAAAGGTATGATAGCATCTGGGGATTATTCTCAAAAAGCTCTTGAGTTGGCTCTTCGAGCGATGAAATCTTTTGAGAGACTTGCAAGTACCAAGCCAAGTTTAGATCTCGTTATGTGTCTGCATGTAGTTGCAGCAATATACTGCGGTCTTGGCCTGCATACTGAGGCAATTCGCATTCTTGAGCAATCAATTGAAATTCCAGTGATGGATTTGGGCCAAAAGCACGCACCTGCTAAATTTTCTGGCTGCATGCAGTTGGGTGATACCTATGCGATGCTCGGGCAGATTGAGAACTCTATTGTGTGTTACACTGCTGGTTTGGAGATTCAACAACTAGTTCTGGGGGACAGCGATCCTTGATTTGGCTCGACTTGCAGGTATCTTGCCGAAGCTCATGTTCAGGCAATGCAATTTGATGAAGCTGAGAAGCTTTGCCCAATGGGACTTGATATCCATAAAAGAATGGATCCTCAGCTTCTCCTGAAGAAGCAGCTGATAGGAGACTTTTGGGACTTATTTGTGAATCTAAGGAGATTATGAAGGTGCCCTAGAACAATATGTTTTAGTAAGCATTGCCCTGGCCGCCAATGGCCAGAATGCAGATGTGGCTGCCATCGACTCCAGCATTGGCGATGCATATTTATCTTTGAAGCGGTATGATGAAGCTATTTTTTGTTATCAGAAAGCTCTCAATATGTTACAGTCGAACAGAGGAGTAAACCATCCGTAGGTTGCTTCGGTCTTTGTCCGTTTGGCTGATTTGTACAACAAGATAGGAAAGTTCAGTGACTCCAAATCTTACTGTGAAAATGCACTTCGTATATATTCTAAGCCTGTCCCTGGAAGTCTCCCAGAAGAGATTGCCAGTGGTCGAGTGGATATTTCTGCTATCTATATATCCATGAATGAACCTGACAAGACATTGCAGTTACTTCAGAAAGCCATAAAGGTATACGGTAATGCACCAGGACAACAGATTACAATTGCAGGAACTGTGGCCCAGATGAGGGTCTTGTACTATATTTTGGGAAGTTATTTTGATTCTTACCGCCACTTGCGGATCCAGCACCTGGTGAGCACCCACGGCCGTGCGTGCTGGATCCGTCGGCAACCATTTTTTTTGGTTGAGAATAGATGAATTTTTTAGGTTATATTTTTAATAATCATTTTCCAAATATTCCTCCTAGCCAAGTTGGTCAATGCCGATTTTTACATCTTGCAGGTCCCAGGTTCAATCCTTCATCAATCAACTTTTATTGTTCAATTTTTTTAGTTTTGCACTTTTACCAAAAATTAATGGAATGAGGGGATTCGAACCTGGAGCTATTGTTAAAATTATTAATGGTTTGACCATTATGCCGGTTGTTGAATTTTGATAATAGATTTAACAAATTGTCATATTAGATCTTAACTTGTTTTAATGCAACAATACAGATTTGAACCTGTGCTCTTCTTTTGAGTTATATAAAATTTGGCAACAATGTTATTTGATGAATATAGTTTGTTGGTTTAACAAAATTATATATGTTGAATTTTAACAAAATAATTGTTATTTTAAATTTTAGGTCTTGTTTGATTTTCATTTATTTCAAAATATATTTTTCTCTCTTTTATTTTCAACCATATATTTTTTCAGTAAAATAATATTACACGAAATTCAAAACTTTTCCTTATTTTTAACCACATATTTTCCATCAAATCACTATTTTCCAATATGCATTTTTTGCCCAAAAAAAAAATAATAATAAATAAATTACATCAAACGAGCTTGTAATATTTTATTGGGCCGACGGTCGACGGTCAACGGTCACCAGTGCTGATTCAAAATCTTGGATCCATCACTGCTTACCGCTCTTTAAAGAATGCCATTTCAAAGTTTCCGGCAACTGGAGAAAAGAAATCTGCCTTTTTGGAATTACTCTGAATCAAATGGGCCTTGCCTGCGTTAAACTTTATTCAATAAAAGAGGCTGCTGATTTTTTTGAAGAAGCCAGGAGCATTTTGGAGGCTGAATATGGGTCATATCATGCTGACACTTTAAGAATTTATAGCAATCTTGCTGGCACCTATTATGCAATGGGCAGGTAACAACTAATTCTTTTAGGTGTTTTTTAAGTTTCTCCACTTTTAAGCTTTGGTTAAAAAATAGTTTTCTCCCATCATATTTTCAATCTAAATCTCATGCTGGTGTTTTTTTAAAGCCGTTCTCTTCAATTTGATATTTGAAATCCGTTGAGATATATGTCTGATAATCTGGAAAACAGATTATTTTAACAGATAAACCATGTTTATCTCTGAACCTTGTGGCCAAAATTTGTGCAGGACTGCTGATGCAATTGAAATCATGGAATATGTTGCCGGGATGAGAGAAGAGAAGTTCAGCAAATCTTGATGCAGATAACGAGAGACACAGATTGGCCGAGTTACTAAAAGAAGCTGGAATGGTCCGGCGCAGAAAATCCAATTCACTGGAAACGTTACTCTATAATAAATGACAGCATTACAGTGGTATAAATTTTCGAAGTAAATTGGAGAAAGATTGTAGAAAAATTTTGTTGTTGATTGCATTTTCTGGATTCTGCTTGTAAATGTCAGTTGATGAAAATTCTTTGCCAGTGTGTACATTTTGTGGTTAAATAAAGTAATAGTTGAGTTTCAGTATAATTTTGTTTTTTCAACTATTTCTGATAACAAACATTCAACTACTATTTTCTGTATGAGAACTGCCATTTTCTGATTTGATGAATTCATGTTTTTTGAAGGGTAATGATCACATTTGGCTATTTTAAGTGACTTTTTTTTTCACCTTCGGACAAGCTTAGAACTGAATATTTGATATGTTACTAAAAGCTCAGTTTCTCCATACAATGATTCGAAAGTAAAACTGTCTATGATGCATTGCCTCAGGAATGGCCGACTCAACCTACTTTTAATAAATGATAAAAAATAGCGAAGGCTTGACTAATATACCTCTATGAATGGCATTCAATCTATTCTTTGCTTAATGGTCTGGATGCACAAATTCTATGATCTTTTTAAGTGCTTTAAAAGTAATTAATGCTTTATTTGAGTAACACTAGCTCTTCAAGCCAGTCAAGACGGCTTCAGCCAGTAAACAGGCCAGTGTTTCTACCTGGTTAAAGAGGTGGGCCATTCTGGGCCTAAAGGCGGTGTCTGATCAAAATGTCATTACCAGTTGACCAATCATTGACTCTGACACTTGTTACGTTGTACACATCAACTGTCGTGAGTTATGTGTCTTCGAGGTCTGATTGGATGCACACAACGACCGATTGATTGTTGTCAATACATATATGTCATATTTGGTAAAAAAGATCGAACAGTAGTAGAGGAAAAAAATATCGAGTGCAATCCGCTAGTTCACATAAGTTGTATCTCTATTATCAAACTACACATCACTTATTCACCATAGTTCTACAAACAAAAAGGGCATGTTAGTGTATGATATTGGACTAGTATTGAACAATCCAATAATCAAGATTTCAACTTTTTTACTTACTCAATAATTTTGAGTATATTATCTAATCCACCTTATTGAACATGCTAAGCAGACTCGGAGAAGTATAGATTTTCACTTGATACATAGAGAGATGGAGAAAGGCCGACATCCAGACTCCACAGTTCAAAACTTCCTTTGACGAAATCATAGTAACCACCCTTTAGTGCTAAAGTGTTCTTCACCAATCCCTCTCTAACAAAAGGATATGTCAGCAGGTTCCCAAGTGATACATTCACTGCAGCCTGTTGCATTATAAAATAACAGTAAATTTTATACTATGGGATTTCACTAAAATCTAGCAATGAGTTAGATATCGTCTACAATTTGATCAAAACCATAAGTTCGACTGCTTGATCGAAAAAGGTTCACATATGGACACTTTTTCATGTACACATCTGGGTGGATCATCTATAGAATGTCATCTTGACTATCACTTGCCATATTTCATAACTGAAAGATACAGCAATGAGCAAGAGAATCCTACTATACATGAGTGCTAAAAATTACCTTTTCACATTTTGTGCATTGATCACCGAACTTTGAGTCGCCACTCTCTGCCTTTACCTTTGTCTTAGCAGCTAAACAAATCTTCACCCAGTCTTCTATGAATTCACTGCATTTTTCAATTACTAGCGAATGAGTACTAGGTATTGCTGCTACAAAGTATTGGATACGGGACAAGATTTTTTCCTTTTTCATTTTTCTCTTCCCGTCTAATTCAGCATATAAAAAGTTCTTATGCTATTTATAATGTCCAAACTGCGTATTAAATACACACTAAAGTTTTCTTCATTAACTGGAAAGTCACAACTCGAGCCAAGAATTAATTGAGATGCTGTTAAGTTTCAAGACATGATTCAAGTCTCATCAATTGACATGTTCAAGTGAAAATCTCAACTTTTTATTTAAACATGTTGAGATATGTTATTATTTTCTTATCTGTAACTTCTACTTAAAATAAATCTACTTATTTTGAAAGTAAGTCTTACGAGGCAGTAGTTCCATCGTCCGGGGTAGACATGAGGCCCTTGATTCCTCCACAGCAGCTATGTCCAATGACTACAATTTCTTGCACCTGTGAAATGTTTAATGCATAAGGTCACTTATACAACCACCATTCCATAGTCAAAAATCTCGTGTTCAATCACCTCATCTAGAAGTTATTCAGGAAGAATGCAACTCTCAAATAACTTCGAGCTTTTAGATGAGGTGTCCCAAAAAGTATAAAAACGCTGAAATGAAATCTTGTTATACCTTGAGGTGCAGAACAGCATATTCAATTGCTGC